AGAGATTTATAATTAAATACATCCAAAATGTCATTACATTTTATTTTTTTTATATACATTCTATATAAATTTAATATAAATATAATATATATTTATTATTTTACCTTTTATTGCCATTATACCCCCCAAATCTATGAGAGTTAAAAAAAACATTCACAGACAAATCCAAATTAAACCCTGCGGCTCGTGACGACACATTGATGTCCTAAGACACGAAATGATCGGTTTGTGCGAGAAACCGAACAGTATTTATATATTGTGATACGAATGGGAGGAGACCTGGGCTGCGTTTCCCAAAAGCTTCATAAGCCTAAGAAGTTCGTAAAAACGATCGTACGACTGATCTTAATCTTACGGTCTGTTTCCCAAAAGCATCATAACTTAAGTTGCACTTGAAAATCACCGTAGATCTATGAGTGCTCTGGAGTAATCGTAAAGCCCTAAGTGCATCGTAAGAAGACAGATTTATGCGGTCAAGTATATATAAAGTATATTATTATGCAAAGTATATAATATAATATAATATTGTATTATAGTTATTATATCCGAGTTGTCTGGAACGCAGCATTAGGTTAACATTTCAATGAGCGTGTACTACAATTACGAGCCATTCTATAAGATGACATTTCAGCACTTGACAAATGGATAGCGACTCCTAAGTAGCACTTAAAGCACGGCTACGTGCGATTGCTTTAAGTGCATTTTTGGGAAATGCACGTGAAACAATAACGAACGATCGTAAAATGACTCGTAGAAAACGCTCTTAAGTGCTAAGATCAGTCGTTATCGAGAAACGCAGCCCTGGTTGAGCTGCACTAGAGAACAACGACGAGAGTGTTATCACTATGTCGGAGACACGCTTGCTTTCCCAAGGCAGATGAACTTAGAGTGGTTACAATCATCCGGGTTTAAATCGCGCTCAAATTGATTTGATTTTGATGCAGTATTTACACTGAAGCTGGCAGGCGGCTATGGTAAGGGGCATGACATTTCCCGACCAGGTGCCGAGTGCTGCCAATCACAACACACACTGGCCCAGCTAACCAATCACAGCACACTTCGTATTTCAGAAGGCGGGTCTTCATTTGATATAGGAACTATTCGAGCCCTTCATGCCAGACTGGAGAGAGAGGTGTTGTAATAATGTAAAATATGTGAAAAATAATGTGGTTTTCGAACAACCTAGTATGAGAGCCTGTTCTAGTACACCCCCAAAACAAAATCAAGACTTTGTAAAAGAGCATAATAGGACCCCTTTAAATATTAGGGGGAAAACTATTTTATAAAATCAGTCAGTCATAAAAAGATGCCATTAAACAAATATTAACAAGTATACTTTATGTTGTTTGTACATTCATTTGAATATTGAATGTGAAGTTAATGAAATTTAAAAGTAGCCTATATATAAAGACGTTAATGTTATGTGGGATTAAACGCGATTAATGTGGGATTAATTAGTTAATTATTTTTTTAATTGATTGACAGCAATATATATATATATATATATATATATATATATATATATCCTATGCATGTTTTTATAAAGCATCCTGAGCAACAAAACAATAATAGGATGTTGAAACTATTTTCTTTTCTTAAAAATCAGTGGAAATGTTCAAAGTGTTACAGATGTACAGATTGTTACAGTTAGACTACAGAAGTGTTAGAGTTTAAACATACATCTTAATTATATGATTTATTGAATTTAATGATTGCAATTTGCAGTTAGCCCCAGCCATATTTAAATCTCATAAAATATAGATTTTTGTTGGTTGCTTTTCACGCGGAAATGTTTATTTCTGTAGATGCTTCTCTAATTCCTGTTGTCTGACTCCTTGGGTTTGAGAAGTCAAACAACAAGGGTAAATATTTGACAGTGAAGAGCTCTTGGGTAGGCTGCTTGAGAGTGCACACTTTTTCTCAAGCATACTTCTATCTGTGGGTGTCTAATAGATTAAGGACATACGAGAGGTCATTAGAAACTAAACTGTGTGCCTACACGGGGCTTTATTTATTCTTTGAGAGCGTGCGCCTAAATTCCAAGAACTTGGCAAACATTTTAACTCACTTTATACAGGTTAACATCAATACGTGGATGCAGCATGTCGCTCTTACTAACCGGCAAACGCTATTTAGAACCGAACCTCATATAACAAAAATAACCATTTGCCTAAAACAATCTATAAAAAAAATAAATAAAAACTGTCACTCCGAGTCTCGTCTTTATCTTGACCATAGGAAGATTTAAGAACATTATAAACAGAGAATTTTCACAATTAAAGAAATGTTGTATTTTAATACGTTAAAAGTTATTTTAAAAGACTTTGATTAATCGGGAGACAGCTTGAAGTTTTATGGAAACGAAAAGTCTTTTAATTCCGTTTGAAAAGGCATAACTAATAATTCAGTATAGACGTAAGCAGCTAGACGTGCAGCAGAGAGTTGCTCAGATCCCGTTCGGCCCTATTCAAAACCATGGCAACAAGAAACCAGCACGGATTTATTTGAGAAAGTTAAAGGACATTGTGCGGGGGCGTCAATCAAGCATTATTTCAGGACTGAACAAATGCAAAATCTTGACTGGAACAAATGCTTCCAACGGGTCTCGGACGCGGGGCTACATTTCCCTCTTTTGTTCCCGGTCGCTGGTTGGCATGTATTTGTGTTCCTTTTTTCGCCCGACCACCCAGGACGACTAGACGAGAACGGATACCCACTCTGTTTGGGAGGGTCTATGCAGTCATCCAGAGCGCACTAAGGCTAGGCAGTCTCGGGAATCATCAGAACCCAATGATATGCCTAGTGCACTTACTGGTGAGGTGCAGGAGTAAGCAATAATCCATAATGAAAAATGACTTTCTCCTTGATGTCTGGATCTTTTCCCAAATAGAAGTTCTTAGTTATTTCAGATTCCTCGCTCGTTATGAAGGAATTACCTTCTAAGTTAAACAGAACTGATGTAAAAACAAACAGCAATGTCGCCTATAGTGTAATGTTGGATATAGGTTAGCTGTAAGGAAATTCTAGCAATAAGGATTTTTGTGCTTTTACTGTATACAAGGGCAAGCCCCTTTTCCATTAGCCACGAATATACATTTCATTAATTACCATGTAATAACTATCACCCCACAGTACTGAGAGAGTGCACATTTAACCCGTGTTTGTGCAATGAAACGACAATACCCCAATAAACGAATTAGGAAAACCAACTCTGTGACGCTAATGGATCACTTTGTATGCAAATATCCGATATGTTACTTGAGCGGGGGAAAAGAAGGGAGGGCTCTTGTTGTCACTTGCCACCCAAGACGTGATTCAGCCTCAACAATTACCTTTATCTGTTTCCCACTTTTCACGAATTCTGACGAATCGGTAATTATGAAGAGTGTTACCCTCCATCATTGTGAAAGTAACGGGCTATTCTTTGCCGAGTTCACACCTACCATTACAGGGATTTAAGTACACGAGTCATTGAGGTACTTAGAACCCATAAAGAGGAGAGGCCTCAAAGCAGCCACCAAGTGCTGTTTATATAAACACCGCGACATCAGTGTACACATTGTCACTTGGGTGCGCGTCTTGAGAACGCACAGATCACTTCAGCACTACGCGACTGAGGGTAGCTCTACAAGATCGAGAACCAGTCCTGGAACTAACAGAAACCCAGCGCTACAAATGGCTATTTCTAACAAGTTCAGTTTCACTGTGAGAAGTATTTTAGATTTGCCAGAAAATGACACTGAGAGCATCGCGCACCATTCTCCAGAGGACCCCTTCTCCGTCTCACCTTACTCGTCCTGGACTGAAAACGAGAGAGGACATATATGTAAGTTCTTAAAACATTTTCCAGTCAATTTTAAGAATACGTTTTTAAATGTCCATATCATGAGGGCTTATAATTTATTTTAATTTGATTCACCACTGAAGTTCTACATGTAACATTTGGTAACTGTAAAGCACATACATACACATATATTTTTTCCCCCTCAGAGGATAGATAAATAAAGGCTAATCATGTTTTTTTCTTTAGCGTCAGACGAGAGCAATCTTGAGGCTTCACCAGACTCCACCGGACCAGACGTGCTTTCAGTGGATACAGAGCATGAAAAGCGGAAGAAGCGTCGCGTGTTGTTCTCCAAGGCTCAGACGTATGAACTGGAGAGACGCTTTCGTCAGCAGCGGTACCTATCCGCTCCAGAACGAGAGCAACTCGCGCACCTGCTACGCCTCACGCCCACGCAGGTGAAGATCTGGTTCCAAAACCACAGATACAAGATGAAGAGAGCGCGGATAGAGTGCGCTCAGGACCTCAATCAGCCTCCAGTGCTGCGCAGAGTCGTGGTGCCCATTTTGGTCCGAGATGGCAAACCGTATCAGAACTGCACTATTGATGCAGAAAAAGGAAGCTGCATCGTTCCACCAACAGTACCATCCTCACCCTTCAGCGTTCAGGGTTTCCAGTCTTTACAGCAGCAAACGCCCTTTGCGCTTTTCCCCACATACCGGCACTTTACCAACACAGCGGCCTCCCGTCACCACTTCTGTGTTTGGTGAGATTCACTTAGGACCACACGAACTATTTTCGGGACTTACCCCACAGGACAGCGCATGGATTCCTCTTGATTCAAGTTGTTTTTAATTACATAAAGTGTTAGGTCTATTAAAGTAGAAACTCTCGGCGTTGATAAGATTAAAAAATAAATAAATGCTGTTTGCACATATTATATGTTCTGTTTAGTTGCATTTTGTGAGAGTTTTGTATTAATTGATGTTGTTTATAATTGCCTAGATAGTGTATTTTTGAACTGTTTGTGTTTGTTCTAAACCAAAAGTTTATATATCAGTGAGAAAAAAAAGTTTTATGTTTTATACTGTGAATGATGTAGTGTCATAATTTGATGAAACTGCCTCATCTTAAAGTGTTACACGTTTTCATTCTTTATGTATTACAAAAAAAAGAGAATTAAAAAAAAGAATACATTTTTAGCAATTTATAGTTGTCTGAATTATTGAACAAAATTATTGTTGGTTTATACACATTGTACCAAATATTCCGTAAGCTTAAAATCACTTATTTTAATTATTAATGCTTTAAAATATTTAATTTCTCCTTAGGCTTTAGGATTATTGTTTTTATTTATTTATTTATTTATTGCATATGTTTAATTCCTTTACATTTTTTGTTAATCCCTTCGATTGTTACATACTGTCTGTAAAAAAGATCTCAGACTGAACTGAAAAAGAGTACGACAATTAGCGCGCAGCAAGAGATGAGTGCTTTTGTAATGTTAAGACGTCCACTTTCACCCAACAGAGAAGACCAAATAACCAGCTTAAAGAAAGAACCCTTATTTAAGACTCAGCAAAGTAGGTTAGCACTGAACAAGAAATTTAGGATGCACAATGGTTATTGATTCTTGTGTGATAGTGAAATTCGAACATTCTGGCTTTTATTGTCTTTTTTACGGTACGCAATATTAATATACCGCATTAAAAGCCTTTTTGTTAGTTTTAAGCATATTTGAGTGTTGATTGAAGCTTTGGTGACCAAATAAGAAAACAGAAGTTGTTAAGCGTTCTTACAATTTTTACCCCAGCACACCTAAAAATAAATTAAGCAGTGGTTTGTCACAAATGGCACTTTGACTTTAAAAAGTGCAGGTCTTCTCCATATTTTAAAAGAGGGTGATCATTGTCGTAACATAAATGAAAGAGGCGTGATTTATCTTGCTTTCTCAATCCCGAGCTTGCCCCAATTAATTCAGCGACCCAGTTAGTATCATCCTTGTCACCTGGCCTTTTGTCCCCCTCTCCCAGGCCACCTTGTACTACATATGGAGGGGACTGACCACAGCGCTCTCTTCTCTACATCTTCCCTAAAACACTTTTTTTTGTGTCGTCCTCTGAAAGGACCATTGTGTGGTTCCCAAAGGGACCTAGACAAAATCCGCAGCGTCTCAATTCTCGTGATGTTTAATCAGTCCCGGGTGACAAATTTATGGGCTTTAACAAGACAATGGAGTTTTAAAAGTCCTTGGGTTTTGGGAGTGACAAAGAAGGGCTTTTAGAGGTCTCCGCTGGTTTATGGCGAAACTTGGCCACAGCAACTTGTTAGTAACATAGAACGCACCAACTGCTCTTATGAAGTTATGTTTTTCTCTAAAGCAGGCCTACATATTTGTTTCTTGATTTAACATTTAAATCATGTGCTTCGATTAATCATTTACCTTTCAAATACACTGAAAGAATAACTACATACCTGTGACCAAAAACTGATCATTTGACCAAACCAGATAAATCTATCAAAGTTATATGAAATTTACATGCCATTACAAATGCGTTTTTATGCCCCCAGTTGGTCTGTCCGATTTCACAGTTAACTACAATGTGAAATAGCGGGGAAAGAGGCGAGACATCATCAATATGTGATGTCCACCGTTTCGGTTGCCTGGCTGTAAACGGTGCCACTCTGCCACCTTGAGGTTAACAGCTTTTTATGGTGGGCTTGATCTGATTGCGCTCAGAGGGAAACGAATATTCCCATGCACCTCTCTGCAATAAGCTGTTCCTGTACAAACGGCATGGTTGCCACCCTCCACTAGATGTCACAATAACACCGTGAGTATTCTGCTGTCAATATTTACTTGCACCTGATGAGCATCAACATCACTCCCGTTCCACCGTAAACCAACGTTCAATAAAACACATAAGTAAAAATAAGCCTCCTTTCACAGTTAACTACAATGTGAAATAGCGGGGAAAGAGGCGAGACATCATCAATATGTGATGTCCACCGTTTCGGTTGCCTGGCTGTAAACGGTGCCACTCTGCCACCTTGAGGTTAACAGCTTTTTATGGTGGGCTTGATCTGATTGCGCTCAGAGGGAAACGAATATTCCCATGCACCTCTCTCCAATAAGCTGTTCCTGTACAAACGGCATGGTTGCCACCCTCCACTAGATGTCACAATAACACCGTGAGTATTCTGCTGTCAATATTTACTTGCACCTGATGAGCATCAACATCACTCCCGTTCCACCGTAAACTAACGTTCAATAAAACACATAAGTAAAAATAAGCCTCCGATAATATAATATAATATAATATAAAGCCTAACGCCTTTGGATAAATTATGGCATTATTTGTTATATATTCATAAGCATATATGCATATTGAAAACATTGGCCACCCAGGTAGCGCTGAACATAATTGCCCGGACTGTCAATAGAAAAAGATATTAAAAACAAGACAAAGCATACTACTAATTGCCGTTAATTGGCAATGATAGCCGTACTCCAGTAGAGAGGATTGAGCCTGATTAAGATAATTAAGAGAGCCTTTTGTAAACTGGATCAAGTAGGCCGAACACCTTGAAAGCAACGTTGGACGCCCCATAGTTTTGACACTAATTGTTATAATTGCACTCGCGATTATCATCACTGGTGCACAAACTACACCCACCTGTGCTAACTTCAAGCTAGAGAAATGCGTAGTTTTCTTAGTTTAAGGATGATACATTTTCATTTTGCTTTAAAAGGTGACAAGCGTTCTGTAAAGTTGGAGTAGGCTACTGGCCAAAGATGTGAACGCTGGATATTAGCTACTATATATAGCTATATTATATATATACTATATTCGTAATGTTACGAATGAAAATTATTTATTTTTATTATTTTTCCCCAAAACTGTAAAAAGGTACTAATGTGTTGTGGCATTTGAGAAAACTAAAATGATCAGTCTACGCACACTTGAACAGAAAGCTTTTTCGTCTTGTCAAATATTCAGTGACCACCAGAAGACGCTGTATTCCCTCCTGATAAACGTTTGTTGGCGCATCCCTAATAGTTTATGACATGTTATGTTATTCTGCGTCATGCATATCCTTTGGTCTTCTTTGTTATTATTGTGCCGTACTGTTTGTATTTTATTAGATTTATTAAGCATAGAATAAATTAAATATATACATAGGTTAACTTTTTTGTGTGTATTCCTGGCTCTTCAGAGCAGCTGCTCATTTCAGTTCCATAAGATCGCAAAGAAACAAAGAAATACATAACGTAAAGAAAGTTGCCGTTTTCTGAAGGTGACATTTGAATTCCGGCAGCAAACATTAAAAAGCGCAGTAAAATAATAATAAAAATGCGTCAAAATTTGTGTTCCGTGATTTTATATTCACAATAATCTCATATAGTCACCGATTAATTTTTGTGGCATTTTTGGGTCTTTAGATGAGCTACTGTAGACACTCGGAAAATAAATAGCACGGTATCTTTGCAAAGAGAAAACATAGGTTTTTTTAGCCTTAACTCTATTACAAATTGAAATAATAAATTAGTTTTAAACCATACACACAGTCTTTGTAATCCCTGGCCGCTATAAAGACCAAATGATCAGTGGTTCCCTTCCAAATTTTCTTAAGATTTTTTTTTTAACTTGCCGTTGCATTTTGTTTAGCCGTCTAGAAGGTTGCAGCGTTCAGAGGAAACTGAATAAACGCAAAAGAACTAAAGTTTACACCAAATATTTCAGTCTACAACTGGTGGATCTTACCCCTATGAGAGTTGAATGCATTTCAAGTCATTGTTTTATCCAAAAGTCATGAATACTTGGTGTCCCAAAATGTCTGTTTACTTTTTTACTAGCAGTTTTAAATTTGATACGCTAAATTAGTATTACTGTAAGTACATTTATGTTAGCGCCACACATTAATTTATCCAAGCCGGACGAGGGGGAAAATGTAATTTTGTCTTGTCATTATTGTAACAGATATTAGATTGAGAGTAGCATAGGACAACGCGTTGTTTCGCAAATAGCTACAAATTCTAAATTTTTATATTTGTTAAAATTATATAATAATAATAATTATTATTATTGGCGTTGTTGTCGTCGTTTTTATTTATAATAATAAGGAAGAGTATGACATGAAAATAGTCTGTTTTGTACAACAAATCTCTCAAAGCCGATTTCGTTAAGTCTACTATCCAACTGATATCCAGATTCGATTCTGTAAAACTGTTTATCTGTCCAGTTATACTGAGGAAGTCCTAGTGCGTCGAGACGATGCGCACTGGTAAGCAATGCATTACTGAACTTACGAGGAGTTACTTCAGGACTTACTCAGGTTATTTCAGCGTCGTTAACTTTGCCTGAGAGCCTCTCGTCCTCCCGAGTTCATTTTCCTCAGTACCGCGCGTCTCAGCCGAGTGGATGGGAATTTGGACGAGACGCTGCCTATGTCCAATAATATCAAACGGAAAGGGGCTTAATCATTTACTTGGCCTCTTAACACGCGCATATGTATTTATTTATTTGTCAGTCAGTGTTCCTGAGTCGTCGCAAGGGCCCTTTGCATGTTTGAGTACGATGGAGCATAATACAAACACGCCTGCAATCACCAGAAGCCTCTTGTGGCCATTAAAAGTCAGTAGTTCAACTCGAGCTTTTTTTCTGAAACTGAGTGGTTCTCAAAGTCTGAAGTCCGCATATGCACTCACATCAAGGGGCCCTTATAAACATCACTCCAACTGTCAATATTTCATCCTTTGCTGTGTTCCTTGCCGTTCTCGCAACCCTCGCCACCGCGAAATATACAGCCTCGCGCTGAGAATGAACTATGGACGAATTAAATTTACGCACAGGTGTTGTTGCATGCTTAAATGTTTTCGGGGTTGGGGGAAGGCATGAGTAGTTGAAGAAGGCGTAATAGAAATTGTGCGTGGGTGCACAGATGATAGCGCTGCTTTGTATTGTTGCCCTGGCTGCTGATGCCCCGCCTCTGATGGAAGCCTTAAACCTGGCACCAAGCTAAAACAAACGAAAGTCAGCTTCGAGCTCCCACTCAAACCAATTAAGGCGGACTCCAGTGCACACTCATACGTTTCCATCCTGCTGCAGCGACGGTGAAACAACAGGAACAGAGGAGCTGGCCAAAAAAAAGAAGGAGAGATTGCCTTGGCTTCTAATTTCTCCCTTTCCAACACAGAACAATGTCGATGAGCCCTAAGCATACGACTCCTTTTTCTGTATCCGATATCTTAAGTCCTCTTGAAGAGAGCTACAAAAAAGTGAGTATGGAGGGGAACAACTTGGGGGCTCCTCTTGCCTCGTACAGACAACCCCAAGTCACGCAAGCGGCGATGCAGCAGCACCACATGGGCCACAATGGAACAGTACCCGCTGCCTACCACATGACTGCAGCTGGAGTTTCCCAGCTGTCACATACAGCCATGGGGGGCTACTGTAACGGGAATTTGGGCAACATGAACGACCTGCCGGCCTATCAAGACGGCATGAGAGGCAGCACGACGGCCACCAGCTGGTACGGAACGAATCCAGACCCACGCTTCTCCACAAGTACGTGAGATTGACATTTTATGTCGTATTTGCAAGAACTGTTTGTGAATTTTAAAATATATTGAACATGTCAGTTACGATTTTTTTGTTTATGCTGTTCTGTAAAACTCCAAGTGTCCAAGTGAACGTGGGGCTTGACCGTATTGAGGGGAATTATGTTAAGCCAGCCGCACGTTAAACGTGTCAGGTGTTTTATCTAAACCCAAACAAACTGCAACAATTAACAGACTCGTAACTGCAGTTCCAGTGTTTGTCCAAAACTAGGAATTGAAACAAGAGACGATTGCGTAATTGTGCCCAATCGCTATATTCGCTCTTGTTGTAACTCACTGAGCTAAGGAGCGTTTGTATTTTCTGTAGTCATCATATATGATACTGAACCTGCGCTGTTTGTGTCTGTCGTTGTTGTCAAATTGCAAAGCTAAATAAGACTGTTCTTCTTGCAGTCTCTCGTTTCATGGGCGCCTCGTCTGGTATGAATATGGGCGGTATGAGCACACTGAGTTCACTGGCGGATGTTGGCAAAGGCATGGGTCCGCTGACCAGCACGCCTCGCAGGAAGAGACGAGTACTCTTCTCCCAGGCGCAGGTGTACGAGCTTGAGCGACGCTTCAAGCAGCAGAAGTACCTCTCCGCGCCGGAAAGGGAACATCTGGCCAGCATGATTCACTTGACTCCGACTCAAGTTAAAATTTGGTTTCAAAACCACCGATATAAAATGAAGAGGCAGGCCAAGGACAAAGTGTCCCAGCAGCAATTGCAACAAGACAATGGCTCCTGTCAGCAGCAGCAACAGTCTCCACGGCGGGTGGCCGTGCCAGTGTTGGTGAAAGACGGAAAGCCATGTCAGGGCAGCAGCCATACACCCAACACTGGTGTACAAAACCACCATCACCAGGGGGGAAACGTCATGATTATGTCCAATAACACTTCTTCAATGGGCCAGCATCAAAGCCAGCAGGTAGGCAGCGCCGGCCAGTCCCCAGATCTGGGTCAACACGCTGCAAGCCCCCCATCTCTCCAAACCCAAGTATCCGGCCTGTCGCACCTGAACTCTTCCGGTTCCGAGTATGGAGCTGCCTTGCCCTGCTCCGCTCTGCTCTATGGCAGGACGTGGTGACATCGGAACAGACAATAACACGATAACAAAATGACAGGTGGATGCAGATAATCTGTATACCCTGCTCAAAAAGAGCATGAGAACAGTGGGTGCGCTCTGAAATCATTGTCTCCTTTCTGGAGGGAGACATGGCAAGGCTACGAGCAACACGAGGATTGCCAAATGTCAAAGGTATCGAATCTTTTATTTTGAGGATGAGCGCCAAAACACCATTAAGAAGATGGAATTATTTATATACGCTAGATTTTAAATGGAGACTGATTTAAACACTAAAATCAAATATTCTGTCATCCTGTTGGATTTTAAAAACATGTCCCGACAATGAAGACATCTCCCCTCACAGTTAGACTGCTAAATACCTTTCATGATTTCTTATAGATTTCACTGTAAACGTAGCTTGTATATTTCTGTAAAAGTTTTGGACTGATTACATAGTTTTTAGCGATATGTAGCCTATATTGTACAAAATTTGTATCGATATTAAGGGTCACATGTTTTTCATTTTCATTGTTATTTGTACATTTAATTTTCTTGTAACTTATATAGATATTTGACTTAAACGCAGTCATACAATCATATTAATAAATTATGACAATAATAACAATAGCCTAACAATACGTTTGTTTTAAATTGGGGTGTAAGAATCAATCACTCGGCGGTACTAAAGGTAGGACCTGACCAATTAAAAAAAAAATCTTCAAGAAAACTAGTTTAAAAGTCATCAAGCTTCTACACAATTAGCTTTTACATTTGTACAAGCTTTCCGAATACACATTAGAAGGTTTTTTTTGCTACAGTCGCTCATTGTTTGAAATCGACCATTTCTACTGATTGTATTGGGTCTCCCTTCAGTGTGGCAGGTTTGTGGAGCTGGATTTCTGCATCACATGCCTTACGGTAAAGTGTTAATTCTACAAATAGTAATGTAGTTTTCTGTGTCGCAACACCCCTGGAGTCAAACGCCAAATATTAGTAGGCTACCTTAAACATGTTGATGGATGTCAATTTTGCGTCGTGTAAAAATGTTTATATATTGTGCATTATTGTGCATTTTTGCACGAAACAATGATCAAATATTTTACAAATGCTTAGCCTATATAAAACATACAAATGTTTCACACCAATTTGATTGCAAAATCTAATTCCAACGATCTGTTTTCGATCCCAAGCTAATTGTTATTAACTTATTTAATGCGCCGTAGTCTATGACTTTTTCTAAGAAAAAAGTTTTGGTACAGGTTTCTTTTTGGAGAGTCGAAAGAGAATGAGTCAGTGCAGGTGAGGTCTCCACTCCTTGAGAGAAACTCACATCAAACAAACGATCCTAAAAGCTAACTTATCAATCACATCGCTGTACAAACAGCAGCATTCTCCTAAATCACTTTGCAAGACGAAATAAACACACTTATCACAGCGCCGTTCATCAATACCGTGTTTGTGAAGATCAGAGGTAAAATCACATGCCACCGTGTTTCCACTGATAAAGACCGTGAGCATCTGAGGGGCACGGTAAGATTGACGGAGGGTCTGCTGGAGCGCTTGAAAGTGCGTATGTTTCTATGTGTGTGTGGGACTTCTAGTGCCAAGAAAAACAGATGTTGTCCACAGACAGAAATAATGAAATTAAATATGATAGAGACATTTCCATTCAACTTTTTGACCAGTTCAGAATCAAATAAAAATAAATGTAAATAAATAGCCCACACACGGAAAACAAAAAAGCTGCAAACTATTTGCTACACACAAGAATCGGTTGTGGACTGAAAGGCCGCGCGTGTCTTTGACTTTCAAAAAAAAAAAGATTTGAGAATTTTAAATATTTATTCCTTAAAGTGTTCGTCAGTTTATCGTGACAAGATATAATATTTGTAACGTTTGCTTCATAAGAGTAGCCTGCGTGTCACTGTTAATGGCCTTTAGTATTTAGACAAATGTTTGAGGATGTCTGATATCCTAACCGTGCGTCCTCTGCAAGGCTGGATAAATTGATTAACCACATACATGAAATAAATGTTCATTTTATGGGCAAGTAAGATTTTCTCTCTTATCCGTTGTGCCAATTCAATCATTTCCCACAGCAATCTACCGGCGCCGAAAGAGTCTATTAGGATTTCGGGGATTCGTTTTGTTAGAGCTCCTCTGAAAGAGTTCAGATTACATTAACATGTCTGAGGCTCGGTGTGTGGTCTTTGTGTGGAGCTTGTAGCTGTTGAAAATGACTTGTTGGAAGCGTGTATGCTCTCATCACTCTCACTCAACACACGTTGCACAACTGCGGACTGTCCCCGAGGCTTTGGGTGCAAAGGTCCCAGTCACCTCCCTGCAATTAGACCTCAATCTCAACGCAATCATATTAGAGTTAGGGTTTCTGAGGTTCGTTCCCTGCTTATTCTACAGTGGAGTTCGGAGAAAGGGGTTAATATACACGATCTGCATTTATGGCGTATTTTGTTTTGAATCTTATAGATAAACCACAAAGTTTGGACTCTAAAAATAAGCATGCATGTTTAGCGTTACTCATATATTTCATTTAATAATGTTATCAATACATGATTAATAATTAGATGGATTTAAGAGCAATGTCCTACTAATAATTTTAAAGTGTAGAAAGAAACATCGTGTTCACGTAAATGTAAACATCAGAAAGGCCTAAGTGCCAGATAGAACAAATAAGCCTTTATGCTTAATAACCAATAACCATGTCAATTGATTTTACTCAAGCGACCATCTTTTATTTACACCGCTCGCTGACTTGAAACACAAAACAAACCTCTTTCAGCCACACCTTCGAAAAGTAAGGTTATGCAATGATTTGCCCACATTATGTAGTATTTTTAGTTCGCATTATGTCATTTGCTCTGGAGCTGTCCGGGGTGCTGAAGTTTGTTTCCGCCAGCATTGCCATGTAAACTATACTTAATTAATAAAAAACAAAAACGTTATTTCCAAACACAACCGTTTCAAAGTAAAACTGTATAACTTAAAACCACAAAATTAGTTTTAAATGAAATGCTTAACTGGACAATTTAGCTACAGTCCGCAGCAAAGTCAGGCGAGAACGGTCCAAAATCTGTTCAAATGACAGAACATGATTCTTTTAGTTAAATATCCAACACCACGTTTCAGCATGATACAAACTGTATTCTTGACACAACAGCACAAGATATAAGGGGAATGAAAAGGCAACTACTGCAAAAGTAGGAAAAACACTGCAAGGCGCTTAACATTACAATAATTATAAAGTCTTATTATAAAGACTTGATCGTTTACAGTTATACAGCCAAATAAAGCAAATCTGTCGTTGCCGGTATTGTTGCACTGAGAACTTGAGTCTTTAAAACTAAAGAATAGTACAAGCCTGTGCTTAAAATGGACAAAGAAATGCTCTTCGATAGAAAACTCCAACTTTCGAATGCATACCCATCTTCCATCTAAATACATCTTAAATGGGATTTGTGAAAGCAAAGTAACAAAAAGAAATGATGATGAGCAAGACTGGTTTTCGTGTACGACTTCCAACACCTCATTCGTAGACCAGCTTCATCTGAGTATGTGCATGACAAATGGCACAATTACACATTAACTGCAATCACCTCCTTTAGTAAATCTTATTGTCAACTAGTAGAAAAAATATATTTAATTGTCCAGCATAATTGTCCTGCTTCTTGAGGCCATTGTGCTGCGCACGCAGACGAGGGTCATTTGCAAGAAGAAATACTTAGCATGCAGCGTGGAACACAAGATGCGGTAATACTTGACCTTTCAGTGTAATTGTGGCACCAGTGAAATACAGCGCATTCAGCCGTATGTGAATGGAGCCTTTCCCATCCAATGAATAAAAGCTGCATTTTCATACCTTCCTATTTCGTTACTGTTTTTAATTTTGTTTCTTCTCAAAGAAAATGACTTTTGTAATGGCAGTGTCTTTTAGAATCCTACAATTTAAACTGTCACATTTACACCGAGGCAAATTATCATGAACTGCAGAAATGTTCCGAAAAGAAAATATCTCATTTCTTGATAGCTGTACACTCTTAAAAACAAAGGTGCTTCACGATGCCATAGAAGAACCTTTTCGTCTAAATGGTTCCATAAAGAACCTTTAACATCTGAAGAACCTTTCTGTTTCACGAAAGGTTCTTTGGGGCGAAAGAAGGTTCTTCAGATTATAAAAAGGTAAGAAAGAGATGGTTCTTTAAAGAACCTTTGACTGAATGGTTCTTTGTGGAACCAAAAATGGTTCTTCTATGGCATCGCTCGAAGAACCTTTTGAAGCACCTTTATTTTTAAGAGTGTAGGGAAAGATATTGAATTTATGAATCACCCGGATAATGACAGTTTGATCAATTGTTTTATTTTGCTTTTAGCAAAATCTCGACGACAGCCAACATTCTGTAAGACTGGGGAGTCCTAAATTAAATATTTTTGCTAAATGGCATTCGAATAAAAACAGAATTGCTTACAACTAGGAATATGAAACCATGTGTTAAGGCAGTTTTTTCCTGCGTAAGGTAATATAAACGCTCTTCTTGCTTAAGACTTCAGACATTATGCTTAATGATTAAATGCATCGAGTATGCTCATATCAGCCCTGCATGGTTGTGGCCCATTTCTATCTGTGAGATTTTGGGGTGTGCAAAGAGAGAAAACAGAGTAAGTATGTAACACGTCTTCCGAAATAACAAGCTTCTGTGAATAATGTTTAATATGTTTACACCGTTTAATATGTTTACACCGCAGAACATTTAAAATGTTCTGCAATGTCGGAGTGGCTCGTGCTGCAGCCCGCGGGTCATGACTCAATAATGAAATTCTGAGCAGACAAGAGGCGCTCCAGCGCAGTCTTATACTGTACCAGCGGGAGTCCTTTGGTGATCAGCGAACCATCACTAACCGTGTTAACACTTCCTCCCCCGCTAAATAACATGTAATCACCTCACCCCACTGCTATTTTGATCAACTTTTTGTCACTTAAACACTATCTGATTGCTTAAGCGTGGTACAACAAAAACTACTAAAACAGCATCAATATTTAACATAGCGGATATAAACCATTAGTCTGCAGTCACCGCCAGCCATCATTGACTCAACAATCGATCTACATAATGTAAATAAAATGAAATAACAGCAGCGAGAGAATAGAGAAATTCAATATTTTTGTATCTTAACATCACCATAAAAAGCTAATGCAGTTGAATTGCAGATGCATTGAATTGCATACAATGCTGTTTAGTAAAAATGTCATGTTTTATCATGTTTTGTCAGTTACATCTAAATTAACTGGTTTTAATCGCTTGAAAGTAAGCAGTGCAAA